AAGTAGAATTTAATCAGATATGCTCATAGCATTTAGTATCTGCGAAGAAAAGTTGAGTTTCGATAAATCTCTTATTTCATAATTGTTGCACTTCATTTCGAGTGAAAGTGTTTGTTGAAGAGATTCATAAGTCTATTTTACAGAAGACGTCGGTAGATTTCTCTTGACAAAATGTCGATTGGCTTCACTGGAACATACGACTGGCGAAAGCTTAGCACGTTTTCACGTGAATCGAAGGAGGTTGCCTCGGAAACAGCGTCAACAATAATGCTCCATAAAGCCAATAGACAACTGGTAAAGAGAAATCTTCAAGCATCTTCTGACTGGATCGGCCTTCGAATATCTTTAGCAAAACTTTCCTTCGAAATTGAAGTAAGCCAAACAATCACATCACTCAATCTTTTCTAACACCTCCATTTTTACTTTTGCAGCTAACTTTCCTAATGACAATATAGGTCTGCTTTATATTCCTAAGGCATCGTTGTTTTCTTATGAATGGTATTCTCTTTTAAGTTACTTTACTTATTTGCGAAACACTGATATTAAATAAATTCCTTTCCAAATAAAATTGGTTAATCTATTTGATCAGTGGCAAATATCCTCAGCCCAAAGCTTGTTCAGGAAGCTAATGGAAACTTTTGCCTTGAGATTTCAATTTTTTGAATTGGTATGCCGCTCTAGAATCGAAAGCTTTTGCTTTTGTACAAATTATTTTTGCATTTTAGAGTTAATCAGAATTTCTTTAAAATGGTTTATTTCTCTTTTTAACTTTTGATTCCATTACATTTTATCTTTTTTCATCATACTAGTCATTCGCCCCTCCAGTCCTGGTAGCCTCTGGTGTCGAGCTAGTTTGGACTGGTTACGACGCCTTCTCTCCTGCTTCTTCCTTGTCCTTATCAATATCTGATCAAGACTCTAGTCAAACCACTAAATCTAGTCTATTAGCTACAAGGAAATCTATCAATATCTCTTCTGCAATCTACATGGCCGACTCACTCTGGCTTTCTTGCGGCATGAGAGGTCTTCATGTCTGGTTGCCACTCTGTCATGTACATCAACAAACCCTCTCTCAATCCTACTCTCCGCCTCATCCTCTTTCTGGCCCGAGTAGCACTAGTTCACTTAAGTCTGGTGACACAATTCATCAGCTGGCGACTTCTGCAGAATTTAAGAGTTCAAGAAGGCGAGTCCATTCTCAGCATCAGTCGTCACAGTCCCACTATCAACAACATCAGATCATGAAGCCTCATCAGAAACGAGCATTTTTTTCCGGGGAGTCAACGACTCCTCGTTATTTGTCACGAAGGATTATGCTATCTCTAAAAAACGACATGGAAAATGCGCACCCTTTAGGTATCTAATCAATTTAATTTACTCCTTATATACTTAAAATAGCGGCCGTTATTTTCATAGGACTGTTTTCTTAATTGCATGTATAAAATAATATCTTCCTAACCAATACTTTTATTAATTTAATGATAATTTAACT